AGAGCCAGCAGTATGAGCAAGGGGACTTGACATCCTAGCCCGCTCCCTGGGAGCGGAATTTCCGGGCTCAAAGTATATTCTAACAGGGCTTCGAGGTCAACTCCGTGTTCCACACGTGCTTCTTTGGTTCCGTCAGTCCGCGCGTGTACGGATATGGAGACGTCCAACGAGTATTCTTCGCGCCTGACAGGCGATGTCAAGCGCCTGGGGGAAGGATGGCGTCACGTCATACGACTCTTGTCACGACCAGCCGTCGTGCAATGGTCACCGCAGGCTGCCTGGATAAGAGCGACAAACCTGGCTAAGGTGGCCTTGCTCTCTCGTCTTGGCATCCGTGCTTGACCTTGGAAACTCGAAATGGGTGGCCAGCTGCCCTCAAGCACTCCCGTGGTTGACTAGGGGTCCGGGGCGTCCGGATGCCTCTGTGCTCAATACTTGATGGAAAACAACAAGGTGACGTTACCGTTGCTGCGATACGTGGCTGTAATGGGTTCCACTCCGGGTCTTAGAGCCAGTGATTACTTGCTTACACCGCTGATTAGACCGCAGCAAAATGCAATATCAACCCAGGGAGCCGTGAGCCTCAAGACTGTCGACAACGTCGTGAACCCTGCTCAAAAAGGTGGTTCGCCTATTGACTCACCGAAGTTCAGATCAAGGCATATGCCACGGTTGGTCAGCCCTAGGCAACAGACTTGGACGGGCCGGGCCATAGAAGCTTTGGAGCCACCTTTAACAAGGCTCAGGGGTGGAAGTGTTTTGAATTACCCGAGACTATTCTGGAACTTCTGCTCCTTACCGACAGGACTCTTGTTCTGCCCCCCGGATGGTGAAGGTCGTGGAGTCTTTGCCAGGCGCTCTTCCGTATGGTCAATCATCGACACAGCAACACAACACCGCGGACACGTCAGAGCGGAGGGCTGACGTGGACACATGGAGTCGTGGAATATTGACAGCCCTGAAGACAGAGACACGCGGCATATTATCACTGACAGAAGACATCTGCTTTGGACTTGAAGGTGTGTGATGGCGAGCTGGACCATCTGTCCCACTCTCAAGAACCGAGTCGCATTTATTCCTAGTATCGCTCCTGCTCGTTCTATTTTCATATTTGGTCAAGGAAGCAGCAGAGGATAAACTATACAGCGTTCAGACAGCAACCATGGCCGTGTATACCGGCTCTTTTGTGTACTTCATCGACTACTGTGACATATTTTTCGCCGAGAATGCCAATGGATGCGCCTTCGGCAACCACCGGCCTGCCACTCTAGCACTCGGCCCATGATAATGCAAAAGTTGGGCGTATGCACGTTATCCGTATATTGATCGCCGTTATTACTCTGTCACAGCGGGTATGATTCAGGAAGACCAGGGTGACCTTTGCTGTGAAGACGTAACCGCTGAGTTCCGGTTGGCCATCGCCCAGTTGTTTGGTGCGGAACGAACCAACGAACCATTGTTGCGCCTTTTTGTGTAACAGAAGAACAAAAAAATTTCATTCCTGACGTTGCCGACGGAGAGTCAGGATTATCATAGTGAAGAGACAACACTGCATTAGCACCAAGAGACTCACTACGTAGGCGCGGTCCGATGAGCCTGGGACAGATCTATTTCCAGGGTCAGACCTCCAGTCAAAGAAGACAACCCTAAAAAAAAGTATGCAAAGCTGCCAGACTTAGCAAAGTCTCAATTTCTGCAAGCTCTAAGCCTCCAGAAAGCCAGCGGCACGTGGCACAACTGGACGGACCTACGATGACAGGCCTCGATACCGAAAAGGGCAGGGTACTGCAGGCCATGTTCACCGAAGCTCTCTCTGAGTGGCCGATGCGTCGACTCGGTGAAAGCACAAGCATGAGTAGCTCGGTACGTGGTGACTAGGTCTCTGGTACATCTTTGTGCGAGGACGCGGGAGACGGCGCGAAGGGGGGGGGGGGGGGGCGCGAAAATTTACATCAATGTAAGCTCACCAAACACGGAATGCTGATTTGAGTAACACGATGAAAGATGACTCACACTCATTGGAGGGACTGGATCGGATAGATGGGCGTTGGACAAGCAAAAAACAAAGGAGATGGCTCGATCTGTCCGGGCAATGGTCGGGGGATACGGAAGACGGTATCCGGCTTTCGTTCCGTTTATGGAGACCAGAAGAGAGAGGTAGAAGGATAGTAACCTAAAGGCAAGCACCTTGCATCGATGTCGGCCTACTCAATCTTGCCTCGTGCGTGAAAGCTATCGAATGCTGTGCTAATGAGGTTTTAGATGTTCGGGACGTACGACAGGCGATGCTGCCATGCACGGCGTATAAGATGGAGCTGCCTACTTTATATTTACCAATCACCTGAAGGGAGAGTACCTTATCCGTATAAGGTAGGTATTCATGGATCCGTATAGGCAAGTAATATGGATAGGTAGTTATAGAATTAAGTATAGAGGTATCCGTACCTGAGGTACCTTAAGTACCTAAGGTAAGTAAGGTAAGGGAAGGTAAGGTAGTCAGTGGTGTGGTGTGACGCACGTTTACAAACGGGTTGATGGGATGTCTCCACAATCACCCGCACAGTGTGTCGCACAAAGACCGACACTGTAACTCGGTTGCGATTCCATCACCGAGATACCTTCATTTTGTGTGAGGGACTCACTGCTTCAGCTCCCTCGGTCCGACATGACATTCAAATCCGTACGACCTGAGCAGGTGAAGCGGAATGAAGTAGATGGAAAACACGAGGGGGTAGCTGCCTGCCTACCCCTAAAGCCATGCTGTGGCTACCTACCTACGCATCGAGTCCTCGAACAAAAGTGTCTGTTGGTCGCCATTTCCAAATCTGGTAGATGGCGGCTTTCATCCAATGCTTGAGAGCCACAGGTGCATCGGATGAGGAAAAGAAGAAAAAAAAGTTTGGGACTAATACGGTATACCAACCTGAGGAAATAGTCCGAGATGTCTTTCATGGACAAGGCCCCGGCCAAGGTACCGTCCAAGGTACCGTCCAAATCACCGGCTTTTACACTGTCTACCACCACTTCCCGCCAGCTTCTTTTGACGACCTCACCCCATCCATCCCTGGCCCGCCGCACCGGCCCTAGCTACTTTACACAACCTTACACCAGCGACCACGGAGGGTCCAACGCTACGCTGCCTTACCTTACGCTACGCTCCGCTCCGCTTTACTCATTCTCCATTTTAGCCCATAGGTCTGCGGAGGAGGCAACGACGTCCAACTTGTTTTCTCCCCTCTCCCATCTCCTTTCGGGTTTCACAACGTCTCTCACACGCACCACTTGCTCGACTGCAATATCCCGGGCACCAGCCACGAACCACGCACACGGCCACACAGAGAAGCAAGCTACCTTACATACAGCACGCGCATACGAACGACTGTTGCAAACCCGCGCATCGCATCGCATCGCATCGCATATCGCCGAGCAGTCACCGAACCGAACACCCAGCATCACGAGGAGACAACATGGCCGGCAAGAAGGGAGCAGGCGGGAACAGCAAAAAGGCTGCCGGGAACGCCCGTAAGGCCGATGCTGCTGCACAGAAGGCCGCCGCCGAGGACGCGAAGAAGGCTGCCGCTGAAGACGCTGACTGGGGCAAGGGCGCCAAGGGAGCTGGAAAGAAGTGAGTAAGAGTCACGAACAACGTTACGGCAACATTTTCTCGGCCGCCACGATGTGTTATCCCACATGTGACACCACCGGCTTCCATGCATCTCGATTCCTCATCTCTCGAGATCTCCAGTACCCCACAAAGAGGAGACCAACCCAGTGCCATGGCTGACCACACCATCCATCGTTTAGGGAGGCGGAAGCCGCCAAGAAGGCAGAGGCAGCCAGGAAGAAGGCCGAGAAGGATGCACTCCTGAAAGAGGAGGAGGCGAACACCCCCGGACGGACTGGACCGAAGAACAACAAGACGGCCGTTAAGAAGACACGTGGGCTCGATCTGTCACAGTTGGACGGCGATCAGAGCGGTGGCTCGCTTGCCGCGCTCAACGCCACCGGCATCGACAACGCCCTCGACGCCCTCTCCCTCACGGGCTCCGACAACAACGCAAAGATTGACCGCCACCCCGAGCGGCGTTTCAAGGCGGCCTACGCGGCATTTGAGGAGCGCCGGCTGAAGGAGATGGAGGACGACGGCTCGGGCCAGGGCCTGCGCCAGCAGCAGAAGAAGGACAAGATTAGAAAGGAGTTTGAGAAGAGCCCGGAGAACCCCTTCAACCAGGTGAACGCGAGGTTCGACAGTACCAAGGAGGAGTTGGCCGAGATCAAGGCGAAGGAGAAGGGCAAGATCGAGGCCCGCCTCGGGAAATAATGGCCCAGTAAGAAGCCTCTTGAGCATGTCATTTTCCATCCCTTCGGAGACATCACTGCTTTGGGGGACTACATGTAAACGTGGCACAGAGATGCCAGGGCTGTGAGAGTGACGAGCATCAGTCACCTGCATATTGGGATATCATCTCTCGGATGTGGATAGATCATGAGACCAAAATTTTGCCCCTCCATTTCCGAATGGATCGATGCCATCGTGGAGTTTCCTTTTGCCCACGCGTCATTATTGTGTGCATGGCGGAGCCACGTTGCGATCTGCGAAACCTTGCAGAGACAGAAGCTCGAGGTTTCCGTAATTTGCGCCTCCTCCACTAAAATTTCTCTCTCTCTCCGCCCGAACCGCCAGCCTCGACAAGAGTGACGCCGACGCGACGGCCGAGATGACCGAGATCGCTACATCCGCCGTGAACACTTTTTGGCGGGGTAGCTTGTGACGTACAGTGGAGGTGGGGTGAAAACAGACCTCGCTGTCACTGATAAGATGATAACCCGCTTATCACGATAAGAAATTGAGCCGGCAGAATTTCTTACCGCTTTTCCTGACCGCCCTTGCTTCACGCATGAATGAGACGTTGTTCTATGTCTCAAGACGGGCTTCCTCTCATCGCGGCAGATCCATCCTCATCAAATCCTTCATTTTGATGCTTCATTTATAAAGAAAAATGGCGAGTCTACGGATGGGCAGTATGCCGTCGTTGCGGCGACAGCACCTCCTGGCCGAATTGTGAGTTTCCCCGAAATCCAGATCCCATCCTGTGTCCCCCCCCCTGAGGTCTGATTTGAGCGTGTAAGTTGCTAATCCCTGTACGCCAGCGCTGGTCTGAAGCAGGCTTGTCCGGAGGGTGTCTTTGTGAGCTTGACACCAGGAGACCCGATGCTATGGTCCGGCGTCATGTTTGTGAGGCACGGTATGGAAGCCCCCGGGTTCTGTCGACGATGAGAGGAAGACGCAGAGTGGAGAGAGGAACCGAAAAGAGACTGAGACTGTTCGCAGGACCCTACGCTACGGCTATTCTGAGATTTCAGATTTCGTTTCCAGACACATATCCCCGACTACCGCCACTCGTCACCTTTTCAACAGACATCTTTCACCCCCTAATCACACCATTAACAACGTACATGTATACCACCGATATCCAGGACAACGGCACAGTAAGCGCCACTGACGCAGAGCGCCTACCTCCCGGAGGTTTCAGTCTACGGCACGGATTCCCCGCTTGGTTCGGGCGGGGCAGCAAAAGCAACGTGGGGAGCCGACAGGTCAGCGGGCAGCAGCAACAACAACCGCCCGCGACGCCCGCCAGAGGCGGCGGCGGACCATCCAGCACTACGTCGACGCCAAGCTCAAAGGCGACGCCTCTCGGAGGTCGGCCTGGGTACCTCGACACCTCGAGGCGAGAGGTCTCCACGTACGAGGTCTTGCGATATATCCGGAGCACGTTTGACGACGAAAAGGTGCTGGACTCGGTGCCGCTCGAAGCTGCGGGAAACCCTGGCGCGTGGCACGCATGGCGGACACGTCAGCGACAGGCGGGCAAGAGTTTCCCTGGCGACCCGGTGCCGCAGGAGACGACTGGAAAGGAGCAGGAGAGCGAAAATGTGGTAGAGGCTGCTGACGGGGCTGCTCAGCAGAAAAAGGAAGGTGAAGGAGAAAGTGAAGAAAAGGTGAAGGAGGAGGCGCCGCCTCCGCTGCCTGAGAGGAAGCCTTCTACCAGCGGGAGTGTTCACTCCATCGTTAGGAAACCTATCGGCAGTGCACCTTCCGTATCCAGAAAGCCCGGGGAATGGAATTGGGAAGGAGTTTGGGAGGATAGAGTGCAGAAGGGCATCGCGACGTCCCTCTCTGAGGCGGTCCTGTACGGGGCGACGTCGGGTGGCGATGACCTGGTAAGCTACCTTTCTTCTCCTCATATGCGTGGACCTTGCATCAAGGACGGTTGCTAATCATGACTGATAACAGATCAACTTCCTTGCAATGGAGGAAGGCGACGTGGACGCTGTGAGGGAAAACTTGCAGCGTACATTGGGAAGCAGCCCGGCGACACCTGAAGAACGCAGAAGCACGCAGGGCGTGCCTGCGTCGGAATGACGGATTTGACTTTGCTTGAAAGCGACTACCTCTAAAACTTCATGACATTACCTAGCTTCCCTTAGCATGCATATCTACCTTGCCCTGTCGCGGATGGGATGTAGACGTGCCTGGGTAGCTTTCTTCTCCTCATCCACATAGCCTTACTACATACAACCTTCCAATGGCCCCTAAATAATAGATCATCATTCTAAGACGTCAGAGATCATCACGCACATTATTCGCCGTCTTGTTACTTCGACTATGGGCCTCTCTACTCCCGTGGCTGCAACTCTCATCGTTCTCGTCACCGTCGTACCCATGCTACTTATCGCAGGCTTCACCGCCCGCTTCATCTCACGCAACTTCAGAGACGCAGCCGGTGCCATTGAACCCAAGCCGGCGAGACGCTGGTTCGGCCTCCGTCGCGTCAAGTCGACCGACAGCACCACCACCAGCCTCGCCACCAACACGCTACACTACGCGGACTCGTGGCCGGATCTCGAAAGTCTCAGGACGTACCGGGATACACCAACACCTTCAATCCAGCGCGGCATCCACGAGGTAGCATCGGTGCCCCAACAGGCCACCACTACTACTACGGTCCAGATCCAGCCGCCGCCCGAGACATGGCATCCCTCGAGGGCCAGTCGTTTGAGCTGGAGCTTCTCGCCGACAAGGCGGAGGACGGATCGAACAGGGGCGGTCCCGAAATCCCGCAGCCGCTCAAGGTTCTCAAGAGACTCGGGCGTGGTTCTGGAGGGAAGTTCCGAGGAGTTGCAAGCGGCTCGCGATCAGTTGCCGAGACTGATGAGGGTGTAGACGGTCGCTCAGGACCGTTTGGCGAGTCTCTCGTGGTGAGGAAGAAGCGAGGGAGCCACGGGACCGGACTAATGCCTGGCTCGAAGAATTGTGGCTAGGAACAGTCTTCACTTGGCGGACGGCCACGAGCGCATCGTGAGTCTGGATTTGGTACTTGATATTACTTGCTGACCTCTACCAGGACCACCTGCTTGGGACAATTTCGTCGCACATGCTATTTCTGGGCCATTCGATGACGGTGATGACGTTGAGGCATCATCTCCAGCACCACAACGCAGCGCTTCTTATTTGATACGGTCTTCTAGTAACTCATCTTTGGCTGCTCAAGCCAGCACTTCTTATGACTCAAACACTTTAGAAGAGAGAAGCACGTCTGGCAGCTCCCTCGTGCTCGTACCGAAGATTTCTGTCACCCCAGAGATCAAGGCTCTTGATGGCAGCAGGGCAAACTTTTGGGTTGCTGTCGAGGTTTCAGGACAATTGTGCCAACCTCTCAACGGCTCAGCCTTCCGTGGGATCTCTGTTGGCGATGGGTCTTCTTTGGTGGGCAGAGCCAACAACCAATCCTCTACAGGTACGTAGACGCAAATGTCGATATTAATCTCCATGCTAACATCAACTTAGATCCTTTCAGGCATGGATGTATTCACAGCATGGATATCCAAGTCGTTCCACTTGGAAATAGTTGTATTCTTGAGACGATTCGTGATGATCCTATCCAAACGTGAGTACTTCCACCTGGTGTTACCAAGGATTGTCTGATTGTGGTACAGAACACTAGGCAATGGCGAAAGAACACTGCTGCTTGCTCAAGTTCTGATCAAATCGCCTCGCTCCCTCAAGCAGCCAGGCCATGTCAAACGCAGGTCAGATGAGCTGATTGATGACTTGGAGTATCAATTAGGAGATTCAAACCTCGAGTATATTCGCGTGTCAGTCAAGTACAACCACTCAGCATTCTTCTGCCAAAGTCGACCTGACATCATCGACAACATAACAGAAGGCGGTACGAAACTGGAGACTTTTGCTACGGCCGTCATTAAGCAACACAATCACCGATCACCGTGGTCTCCGAGTCTAGCCCCAACCTATAACCCCATTGCGAGCATCGTTCGTGAGAATTAGGAGCCATCGAAAGCTCGTAATACGATTTGCCGTATATCAATGAGGCCCTCAACACCACAAAGGTCTCCCAGGGCAAGGTCCAGGATGGACTTATCTATGGAGACACCAATGGACATGCTGACCCCTCCGGTAGTTCCCAGGCGAGAGGCAAGCCTCGGCAGAGACGTGACGGTCAGAAAACCAGAAGCAATGTACAACGGGTGGTCTCCTGGGCATCGAAGGACGTTGGCTGTGGACTTGGACTGGGATAGGCCCCATGCGGGACAGGGGGAGCGGAGGCCATCAACTGCAACGTGCCCCGGTGAGGCGGCTACCGGACCCGGATTCAAAAGTAGGTTTGCGAATCATTTGGCCGCACTGAGAAGCCCACGCTCGATAGGCCCGGGCGTTTTGAGAGGCTTGGCATCTTCAGTCGCCGGCACTCGAGATGAAGGTCATGAAGCAGGGAAGAGAGAGGCATATGGAGGAGATTCTCCCCGCAACCAGGGAAGGAAGCCATCCAGCCGTTGGAGTTGGACGAGCTGGTGGTCTTGAGAGGGCACACAACTTGGGACTTGTTCAATTTTGGTTCGGACAGGCAATATGCATACAGGCACACGCGCGTCTCTGGGAATGGTCGAATTAGAAGTACCCGAATGACGTTTCACTGTTCTTTCGTCTTTTAACTATTGCCTTATCCACTGACGCCTTGATGATTATGCTTTTCTTTGTTTTTGGTTGCTGATTTATGGTTTTACTTTGTTTGTTTTTTTACTTGATCTCATGCAGCCGTCCTTTACTGCAACTCATCTCTCCAAGGAATAGATGTTTGCGCGCCCTTGCGCTCGACCGTCTTGGCTGCCGCATTGTTGGCGCTCTTGATGGCAGAGGAAATGTCAAAAGCCACACCCTTAGACTGGGCGGTCACGGCAGCAACGCAGTAGGAGCCGACAAAGGTGTCGCCGGCGGCGGTGGTGTCGACGACCTTGACCTTTTGGGCGGCGATGAGCTCGGCGGCGCCCTCCTTGTTGGCGTAGTAGACGCCGCGGCCGCCGAGGGTGATGATGACGTTGCTGACCTTCTTGGCCATGAACCACTCACCGACGCGCTTGAGGCCCTCGGGGGTGTCGAGCTCGGACTCGTCGCAGCCGGAGAGGATGGCGGCCTCGGTCTCGTTGACGACGAGGTGAGCGAGTCCGTCGTAGGCCTCGTCAGGGAGGCGCTGTGCCGGCGCGGGGTTAAGGAGGACTGGAACGGATGCGGCCTTTGCGGAGCGGAGGGCGGCGAGGACGGTCTCGAGGGGCACTTCGAGCTGCATCACCAGCAGGTCGGGCTTCGGCTCGAGGGTCTCTGGGAGGGTGCCGAACTTTTCCGGGGTGACGGCGTGGTTGGCCTCGGGGGCGAGAATGATGCGGTTCTGTCCGGTGGGTTCGTCGACGACGATAATGGCCATGCCGGTCTTGAGGTCGCTACCGACGGCGATGCGGTCGGTGCGGACCCCGTGCTCGCCGAGGTTCTTGAGAAGGAGGTCGCCGTACGAGTCGCTGCCGACGGCGCCGATCATGGAGACGGAGGCGGTTTCAGAGGCGGCATCGTTCGGGGCTTCGCGGGAGCGGGAGAGCTTGGCGCAGGCGACGGCCTGGTTTGCGCCCTTTCCTCCAGGCGAAATGACAACAGAGTTCGAAGTGAGGGTCTCGCCCGGCAGGGGGTGGTGGGGGACGTAGGAGGTCAGGTCGATGTTGAGGGAGCCGAGAACGGTGATCTGGGGGGTCTTGGTGGCAGCCATTTCGGGCAATTTGATTTTCTCTCTCGGTGTTCGGTTTCTCGTGTTTTCTCTTCTCGGCGATGATGATGTCGCCAACGTCAAGACGACCTGAAAAGGCAACCTGGGATATTTTATGATTCGAATCGTGCGAACGCAATCGGGTATCTTGACGAGCCAGAGGCTTCCCTTTCCGAGCGAAAGAATGCAGCTCGGTTACTGAGGTGAGATAACGGCAGATCAGGTGGTGAGGGGCAGAGAGATGGATGTGAGGCATTGAATTTTCCCAGCCGACGGTGACAGGACCCCGCCAACGCCAACGCCAACGGAGGTGGGATGATGATGCACTTGGCGGGGCATTGGCTGCCAGGTTCGCGGTTGGAATTCTGTAGCGTAAGGGTGGGAGGGGCAGCCGAGTGGTGTTGCAGGGGGGCCGGGTGGGACTCTTCTCCCTGACCTGCTCAAGGGATTGGCCCTACGGACCGGGAGGGATCGGAAAGAGTTGCAGTCTTTGCAGATGATGCATCTTTTGGTTGTTGGCGTTATTGGAGAATTTCCACAGAAAAAGCTGTGAAAGCAGGGAAAGTAGACAAAAGACAGGGTCCACAGTCGGCTAGTTTTTCTCGCTAATAGTTCGGGTCAGCATGATCAGGTCGTTTGAGGCCCAGTGCTGTGCAGTGATTTGACATGGCAACGCGATACGGTTTCTGACAAGATGTCTATCCGCAGGAATAAAGAGAGATCCAACCCGACACCTTACCTTAGTCAGTTAGAGAGACAGATGCCATGCCTAACATGTTCCCCTCCCCCCAATTTTTCATCCCTAGTCCTTGCCGAAACAAGGCGAAAAGACTGATGGCTGTGACCTTGGGAGTTCGCAGTTGGGAGGCTGGCACGCCGGGCCACTGGGTAGGTACGCAGCACACAAATAAAGAGCCGAGCCGAAGAACGGAGCCACCTTTTAAGGAGTGGAAGGTTAGTGGAAGCGTACCCGACCCCCTTACTCCGTACCCGTACCGTTCATGCTCAATCCGATCGGGTGTTGCAATGGAACCTGTCAGGTTGTCTTGCCGTCCATTCCTAGACCTTCCAGAAGTTCCGGAAGTTCCAGTCCATCCACCAGCCACCAGCCGTCTGCCGAGACGGGCGGGATCTTCAGCTGCTGGGAATCATCCAAGGATACCTTACTCCGTAGACGATAGAAAGGGAAGGGTCTGGACCTTTGATGTACACGTCCGCACTTCGTACCTTACCCAGCACTCCAATCTCGGCCTCCCCTCCGCCGCCTATATGAAATAGTCCTAGAGAAGCATCCATCTTTTCGGCGCCATGGGCGGAATGGCTGCGCTGTTCTTGCCGTGCGGCACTCGGCATGCGCTGACACCGCCGGTTCGGGCGCCGGCTTGAACCGACCGTTTGTTTCGTTCTGTTCGACACGTGGAAGTGAACGACATCACACCAGATTAGACTTTGAGGGTGCATACGGCATACCGTTAGACTCGATCCCCTATTGTCTCCCACGCGCGCCACGCCATGCTGCATTTGGCGCGCCGTCATGCCTAGGTCTAGGCCGGGGTTGCGTTGGTGTGGGATGCGAATGCGGCGCGTGTGTGTCTGAAAGTGTGTGTATGTGTGTGTGGAGGAAAAAGTGTAGATGTTGTTGAGTCAAGATGGGATGAATGACTTGTGGACTTTTGACAACCCGCGCGAGGGAGAGAGGGAGAGATAGACGGAAAGGGAAAGAGCAAGAGAGACCGAGAGCAAACACCAACAACCTATCTGAACACCTCAAGAACCTGCCGGGGAAAAGCAGAACCGAGAGAAGGCAAGAAGAGAACGATTGACTTGCAACGTGCCTTCCCTTCCTGTTGCACAGAAGTACCTTCTTTCCCTGACCTTCCATTGCCTCCCTATCCACCTGCCTCAACCTGCCTCAACCTACCTTTGCTACCTTTGCAGGTAAGGTAGGTACGCTCCTGCTCTCTTCCATTCCTGCCTTCAGTCGTCACCTCAGTGGAGAGTTGCTTGCCCTACGTCCCATCCTGGAAGGCTTCTACCTTCTACTGCTCAACACACGACACACACGACACTGCACTCTTATGCGCTCCTGGACCAAGTAGGCAAGGGCCGTGTGCTGGACCCAGATGGCCGCCTCCTTCCCGTGTCTTTCACGAATAAGCGGCTTCCTATTCACCGGTTGCCCAAGCTCCATGCCCTTAGCGTCGACCTCAT